CCTATTGATGAGAAGAGTAAATAGAGTATATTTGTAGCAAAGTATTGATTTTGCATGTTCGATGTATTATCTTTATACCACGTAAGTTTATTTTTATTACAAAATTATACGTTTAATCTTTTTTCGTATTAGTAAATATTTTTGATATTTTGCAGACCCTTTTTGAGGATGCCGACATTCTGGGTGGTGATGACATTTAGTGAATTTCTTGGGTTAGCTATTAGCTTCACATTCCATGTGAAGGTATTTTAGTATGTTTCTCTTTGTTCAAATTACTAAAAAAAGCTTTTTCATTATCAATGCTACATATATAGATGTTTTGGAATTTGAAAGTATTTAGTATTTTTTTAATTACGTTTTTTTAATATAAATTTATAACCTTAACCAAAATCACCCGAAATTAGATCTGCCCAAACTCAAAAGATTAATTGGATGTACCTTAGTTTAATTTTCAATCTTCCTCCTTTTGTAAATGTTAGTAACATTGACAATAATTTCAGCTTCTAATATATGTTTTATTTTTAGTATGATATTATTTTAATGAAAATATGCTAATAATATGATTAATTTTGATATGATTTAAAATATTTTTGGTATGACTTTTGATATTTACTATATTGATTATTAAAATTTTTAGTATATTTGTTAATGTTAATATTTTTAGTATGATATTATCTTAATTAAAATATTATAATAATATGATTAACTTTAATATGATTTAAAATATTTTTGGTATTACTTTTTATAGTTATTATATTGATTTTTAAACTTTTTTAGTATATTTGTTAATGTTAGTATTTATGGTATGATATTAATTTGCTTAATTTTGGATTGGTTATCAATATCCGAAATACATCGGGTGTGTTCGGCACAGAGCGTTTGAGAGCGTTGGAGAGCTTCTAGCTTCTAGCGTTTGACAAAACGCTCCGTTTTGAACAAAAATCCCCATTTGGCACTACAAGCTTCTAGCGTTTAGTTTAAACAAAACGCTCCAAATTCAAATACTACATCGCGTAGCGTTTAACAAAACGCTACCAGATAGAAGCTACCCGCTACCAGCTATTTTTTCCGAACACGCCCATCATATAATACTTTATTCCACCTATAAATCTAATATATGTTCTTATTTTTTATGCTTACAACACAATTCACCAACAAGGAATCGGGAACGGGAAGATTACTTCATTACATTGCATTGCATTTCGTGACACGAATTCAGGTTCTTTTTACTTCTTCTATCTGTTATAACTTGAAGTGTGTGTATAATCTTCTTCTGTCTTCTGTTTGAAGTGATAAACTTATTCTGTTTGAAATGATAATCTTCTTCTGTCTTTTGTTTCAAATGATAATCTTCCTCTGTCTTCTGTTTGAAGTGATAAACTTATTTTGTTTGAAATGATAAAATTCTTCTATCTCAAATAATACATGTATATAATATGTATATATGTGTGTATGTATTTGTTTGTGACATCGTATATATGTATGGTTTGTATATGCAAACTACTAATAAACATATGAATATCGTGAAATGTTGTTTTTGCTATTAAAACTTTATTTTTTGTTGCATAAAATGGCTTGTTAACCTGGTTATTATTAAAGTATGTACTTTGACACATGACAAGATATTCTTTTCTTAATTTTGGTAAATGTGTAACAAGTGAGATATATAAAGTCAAATATTACAGTGACTAATGATATAATTCCACTACTTACATTAATGTACAATAGGAGGTTATGTCTTGGATTAGAACCGGACTAGATCAGAACCGGACTAGATCAATTAAAACTAATCAAAATGAATAGAACTAAACATCAATCCAATTAAATGGGTTTTATATTGGTTTAATTCGACTTTATGGGTTTGTTTCTATTTTGGGTCCGAAATGAAGTTGAGTTATTACTCTAATTATGCACTGCTACCTGGTACCTACGTTTTGATTTGTCATATGCTCCAAATGAAACTTGTTTGAATGAGATATTGATTATCAAAATAGTGTCTGAAAATATTGTCATTAAAATAGATGTTTAGAAAGTTATAGATTTGTCTCATATTGTTGGGTTGTAAAACCAACAAATACAAACGGGTATAAACAAAAATAAAATAAAAGGAGATAGTATAGCTAAAACATTGGCCAAATTTTTATGGACAAATAACTATTATAAATACTTTTAATCATATTCTTTAGTATTTGCATTACAAAATTAATTAAACTCACTATATAAAGATATAATCAACATTAAAAGGCAATTATTACAATCTATTTATATATATTTTTTAAAATCTTGACAAAGAAAAGTTTTCTTTGATAGATATTTTTAAATGTTCATTACGATTTCTATTTTAATCATTTCAACAAAAAGTAAGATTTAATTTCAATTTTGACAATTTTAATCAAGCACATGGCTAATATTTATAATTGTGTTCCTTCGAACATTCATTTAATCATTTTTTCCTATAAAAATCATCAAGTCACACACGAATACATACAAATTGGTTTTCATTTGCTGTAATAAATTGCTCACAACATTGTCAAAGTCTGCTATTATGATGTTGTATTTGATACCATTTCATTCGAGTTGTCTTTAAGTAAGATCGCATGTTTTGATTTTTGACCCTATTTGGTAGAATTGCAAGAGCATCACGCCACCACACATCCTCCAACATAAGAACTTTTCCTGTTATCTGCTTATTTATATTTCAAAACAAATAAAATATTTTAATTTTATACTTAATTTATCAAATATATGACTTTTTGTTGTGAGTATCTGATACGACACATGATACGGCACATATGACTTTCATTTTGTAGAATCATGAACGGTCACATTTACGTTGATGCATTTTCATTGCTACTAAACTTCCATTTGTGGTATATTTTGACACCCGTTCATGTGGATTTCATTTGGAGAGATGTAAGAGCGAACAAACTCTTCATTGTTCTCATTGATCAAAATGTAAGTTTAAAAAACTATGTGTATCTTATTTTCATTTTCATAATTTATTATAAGTATTTTGTTTATAAAAATATTACATTTTCTATTAGAGAGAGAAATTGGTAGCAGTTGTTCCACAACAGATGATGCGTTTTTTTATGGAGGAAATCTATTGGATGATGTGTTTTCTTTAAACCATTTTCAAATCGAACCAACCTATGCTGAGTAACCGAGGTATCAAAAATACAGTTTATTACGTGGTGATTTGATGATTAGGATCAACAATAACACACGGTTTAATAGTTTGGTCGATGCTATCATATCATGATTTCCGGTTTTTTCATTGGTTCCCTCGATTAAAAGTTTAATAGAGGATCGAACATAGAGAAAAATGATGATTGGTAAATTTAATAACTTATATATTTTTAGCATTCTAAAGCTTTTAAAATAATAACAAGTTATCCTTTTAATTATCGTTATTTTTAGATATTGTTGGAAAAATCATCAAAAGCAAACGAAACTATTCTCGTTACTTTTGTTTAATGGCGTTAACTTCGTTCACTTTATATCTCCAAGATGGGCCGTAAATGTTTATTATTATTATGATTATTATTATTATTATTATTATTATTATTATTATTATTATTATTATATATATTATATATTACACTAAAACAAAATTAGATGATTTTGGAAATATTTGATTATAAATAGGGGGAATATAATAAAGATGAAACTATATATATAACCGCACAAACACACCATCAGGTTGTGAATACTTGCTATGTGATAAAGAGAAAATATATAATATTTGTTTCTCGGGTAAAATTGGTTCATTTGGATTCAAGTAAGTTTTTTCTATAAAATTATATACTTGCAGCTAGAATAAATCTTCAGGTACAATATAAGGGCGTATGACTCAAACGTTTCTTTCACATCAATGGGTGTAAAGGTGGATAAATAATTGGACAATATGACTTCTGGAGTTTACACTTTTTGTACGCACGGGACAATCTATCATAATATCGATCAGTTAATTCCAAGGGATGGAAAATGGAGGTATTTACGGTTGTATTTTTATGATGGTGAAGCTGAACTATCACAGAGATCCTCCTGGAAGAATGTTGATAGAAGAATCATTCAAAAACTAACACATATTCTTGCTTCAAATCCGTACGTTAGAACATTTAAACGTCTTTTTGATCTAGGACCGCTAGATTTTTATAGAGTGACTTTGAATGCATCGGTGGAACTTGACCAAAGGGTGTACAATAAGCCGACCACATCTGAGGTGTGAATATTATCATTTATCTTTATGCTTTTTAAAATAAAATGTGTCATATTTATTATTATACATATCATATTAATCACCCTATTGAACTACACCTTTGCATAGGTTGCTGGTATTTGGGTTGAAGGAAATGACAACATCACTGCATATACAAGAAGTATTATTGTCTACGAGAGGTCTGACTATAATATTGACATTCAACCTCACTTTGGTTGTTATGATCCGTTGTCGTATCCTTTATTCTTTCCCAATGGTGAGTCTAGATGGCATCCTAAAATACCAAGATATGGGGTCGTCATGGATGAAATTCATAGTGACAATGAAGACAATGATGAAGCTTCAGAAGGTACGCCTTTAACATTCTTTTACATATTTAAAACATGTAACATATATTGCCTTAAATATACGGATATTAAATTTATATTTATCACAAAAATTATGATATCATATAATCTACTTCAAAAAAGGCATAAATACTATAAGTATGCGAGAGTACTATTGTTACAAGTTCCAAATACCGTCGAATGATAATGTGATTTTGATGGAAGGGCGATTGTTCCAACAGTTTGTAGTTGATACCTATATAAAGATTGAGACTTCAAGTTTGGTTTTTGTTGAAAAGAACCAAACCAAAATTAGAGCCGATTTATACCAGGGTGTTGTTGATTGCTTCAATGCCGGCGAGGCTCAACCACGTAGGGTTGGACAACGAGTTGTGTTACCTGCAAGTTTCATTGGAGGTCCACGTGACATGTGACGAATATTTTTGGATGCCATGACTTTAGTTCAAGATGATGGGAGGCTTGATATATTCCTTACAATGACGTGCAACCCAAAATGGAAAGAAATCGATGATGAGTTATTGCTTGGACAGTCAGCTCAAGATCGACCGGACCTTGTTGCAAGAGTTTTTCATGCTAAGTTAGAGGATCTCAAGGTACAGTTATTCCAGAGGCATATAATCGGTGTGGTGGGGTCATATGTGTATGTGATAGAGTTTCAAAAGCATGGATTACCACATGCACATTTCCTCCTAATAATGACACCTGGATATAAGATGAATAATCCAGACGATTATGACAAACTGGTATGTGCTGAAATTCCCAACCCAATAAGGTTTCCTGAAATGCATGATCTTGTCAAAAGTCACATGATGCACGGTCCTTGTGGCAGCTTACGAGAAAAAAGTCCATGTATGCAAGGTGTGCCAAAAATATGTCGTTTCAGATATCCTAGGCAATTCAATGAAAAGACATCACAAGGAGAGGACTCATATCCATTATATCGAAGGAGAAATAATGGAATTGAGGTGACTGTAAGAAATACAAATTTGGATAATAGATGGGTGGCTCCATACAACCCAAAGTTGTTAATGATGTTTCATTGTCATATCAATGTTGAGGTTTGTTCGAGTATAAAGTCTGTGAAGTACCTATTCAAATATGTTTATAAGGGCCATGACAAACAAGTTATCCATATTGATAAAGACCAAGAAAATATTGTTATTAATGAGATACAAAAGTTTCAAGACGCACGTTATGTATCCCTTCCTGAGGCATTATGGTGAGTTTTTAGCTTTCCGCTTTCACATATCCACCCTTGTATGATGGCCTTGCAAATACATCTCCCGAATCAACTGTTGGTTAGGTTCAAAGATGGTGACAGAATGGAAGACATTGTTGATAGGGAGAAAGAAAAAAATTCAATGTTTACGGCATTTTTCGATAAGAATAAAGAAGATTCCAATGCGAGAAAATATTTGTATAAGAATTTTCCCAAACGTTTTACATGGAATCAGAGCAACCATTGTTGGAGGACCAGGAAACCTAAATCAATGATTGGTCGACTGGTTTATGCTAACCCAACTGAAGGAGAGAGATACTACCTACGCCTGCTTTTATGTCATACTACTGGGCCTACCTGCTTTGAAGATATATACACAGCCAATGGTGTATTACACCTTACATTTCGAAAAGCAGCTCTTGAAAGAGGTTTAATAGAGAACGATGATAATTTATCACAATGTCTTGTAGAGGCTTCCTTATTTCAATTTCCCAGCACACTTAGAAGGTTATTTGCAACAATGTTGATTTTTTGTGATCCAGGAAATGTTCGCAAGTTATGGGCCGACCACTATGATTCTCTTTCTGAAGAATATAGGAAACAATATGGATGTCCTGAGCGAGTGCAAAATATGGTCCACATCGACATTGGAGTCTTCCTAGAATCTATGGGTAAAAAGCTTAGTGATTACGACCTTCCAAATGTCAATGCACACATCGAGTTACAATCAAGAGGCTATTGTGAGGTGCAAGAAGAATAGTCTATAAATGTGGAATATGAAGACTTACATGCACGAGACTTTCTCAATCCTGACCAGAAGTTTGCATATGATGAGATAATGAGGCATGTGGATGAAAATATTCCGGATGTGTTCTTCATAGATGGCCCCGGTGAAACTGGAAAAACATTTTTGTACAAAGCTTTTTTGGCCAATATTCATGCATGTGGTCTTATTTCACTTGCAATAGCCACGTCAGGTGTTGCGGCTAATAACATGCCAGGAGGGAGAGCAACTCATTCACGATTTGGAATTCCCCTAAATCTTGATAATAACTCGATGTGCAAGATCACAAAACAAAGTGGGAAGGCTCAGCTACTTCGCGAGGCAAAGGTAATCATATGGGATGAAGCAGCAATGGCTAAGAGGCAGGCGGTAGAAGCAGTTAATCGGACAATGCAAGACATCACATATGAGAAGCTCCCTTTCGGTGGAAAGATAATGGTTATGGGAGGTAACTTTGGACAAGTGTTGCCGGTCGTGAGACGTGGCACTCGAGCACAAATTGTGGACTCTAGCTTACGAATGTCACCTCTATGGGCTTCAGTTAAAAGGCTTCAATTAAATATCAACATGAAAGCGGTAAATGACCCATGGTTTTCTGATTTTTTATTACGAGTTGGTGATGGAAAGGAGGAAACAATGGATGAGACCTTTATTTTTATACCTGATAACATGTCCATTCCATACATTGATAAAACTAATTCAGTGGACGCTCTGATTGATGCAATATTTCCTTCTTTGTAATCCAACGGCGCCGATTCAAAATTTATCATTTCGAGGGCGATATTGTCAACTAAAAATGAAAGTGTTGATGAGATTAATAATAAGATGATCGAACGATATTCTGGCGAGCAAAAATTTTACTACAGTTTTGATGAAGCGGAAGACGACAAAAATAACTTATATCCGGTGGAATATTTGAACTCGCTAAATGTTAGTGGTATACCTCCTCATTATCTTCGATTAAAAACTGGGTGCCCAGTAATACTTTTGCGAAATATCGATCCCTCAAATGGGTTATGTAATGGCACCAGATTTATATGTCGAGCTTTCCAACAAAATGTCATTGATGTAGAGATAGTTGTTGGTCAACATGTTGGAAAAAGAGTGTTTTTGCCAAGACTTCATATATGTCCGTCTGACGATGAGATGTTCCCATTCAAACTAAAGAGAAAGCAGTTTCCAATTCAGCTTAGATTCTCTATGACAATCAATAAAGCTCAAGGACAAACAATTCCAAACGTAGGTGTTTATCTACCAGAATCGGTATTCTCACATGGGCAACTTTATGTGGCGTTGTCTAGAGGAGTATCACGTGTTAATACCAAGGTATTAGTAAAGCCGGAAAAAAATGTTTGATAATGATGGAATCTACACATCAAACGTTGTGTACAAAGAAGTTTTATGTGATTAACAAGGTACAATCAACAACTTATTATTTTACAATTTGTTCAAATATGTATCTTATATGCTCATTTGATGTTTAATGCAGAGATAGCAGATGAAACAACATGATTGCAGATTGGTGTAGTTTATATATTGGATATGTTATAAATGTACAAAACTACATGATTGCAGATTGTTGTAATTTATATATTGTAAAATCAAGTATGAACTATTAGATGAAATTCCAAATGTATACTCAACTTCTGCCGTATTGAATGACTATGCACCTAGCTAGAAACTATCCGTTGAAATGAATTATCCGACACAAAATAGTCTACCAAAAGGCCGCAATGAATAGCTCACGTGTAAAGGAAACTAATCATCACATTAAAACTATCTTCCGAAAGAAACTCTTTGCCGCCCGGCGCTTGGCGCGGGTAAACGGCTAGTGTATATATATATATATATATATATATATATATATATATATATATATATATATATATAGAGAGAGAGAGAGAGAGAGCTAGGTTCAAATGTTTCTAGCAACTATTGTGTGCATGAATGCACCAATAGGAATTTAGGAATAAATAATTAATTAAATAAATCATTTAAGGGTATTATAGTAATCTTTGCATATTTAATTATGGTAGATAATTAATATGATTATTATTCCTTTAAATATGAGATGTCAAAGTCAAAATATGTTGAAAAAAAACCCTAGCCGATTCTTTTTCTCTTTCTTTGGAATTCATCTTCACGCTCCAAAAATCACCACCGACATCAAAATTGAACCACCATTCAAGTTGATTTTGTAATTCGTTGGTAATGTCCAACTGCTGAATAGAGGGTTTGAAGGTTGGTCTCTGACACCAACGTAAGTTTATTTGATTTATGATTCTTCTACTTCTTGATTGCTTGCAATTCTTCCTCTGAATGCTACTGATTTACGATTCTTCACATGAATTTTCCATTTGATTTATTCACTGATTTTTGATTCTTTGATTTCTGATTATCCTTCCTGTTGATTTCCGATTTCACTAGTATACCCACTGTGCTCTTATTCTTCTTTAATTCTAAATATCCATCATTCAACTTGATTTTGTAATTTAGACTTTGACTTAAATAATGATAGATTGTTCTTGATTTTCATTTGTTCTTGATACTTGATTGTTCTTGATTTTCCATTTGTTCTTGATACTTGATTGTTCTAAATTTGGTTTGTTTGATGATAATGCCTAACAAGTGTTTGCTGAAATGCCTGAAAGAGAATCTAAAGAATTTAACCTTATGGTGTGCATTCTGTCAAAATTACTAGCAACACATGTTTTATGTAATTGTTTAAAAAGGTAATTAATTTGTCTGTGTATTATTTTGGTTCAATTTGTGATTCTGAATTCCAATTTCTATTGTCCCTCGTTATTGTATATTTGGAATCTAAAATTATATTAGTAGTAAATACGATACTTTTGAATGTATTTTATGTATTCTGTCAGAATGTATTCTACCAGAATAAAATCTATGTGATTCTGTCATAATGTATTCTATGTATCCTGTCATATTCTATGTATTCTACCAGAATATATAAAGTGATAGTTAATTGCAAGTAACATGTTTTTAACCATTATTAGTTTTTTTTTTGTCTTTGTGATAAGAATGGCTGGAAGAATGCGTTGAAGACCTAATAGGAATAACTTCAAGAATGAATAACGTTTGATCATACTCACCATTTAATAATGTTGTTATTTTTTAAGAATTTTATTCATTTTTGTTGATATTCTTTTAGAATATATGTATAATTATATTAAAATGTATAAGGCTTTTAGTCTGTAAAAATATGTATGAATTTGTATTTAAGTTCGGATGTATAAGAAAATATTAGAATGTTGTCATTTTTCAACCTCGGATTTAAGAATTTGTTATTCTTCAATAATATTCTCATAGAATAAAATTCTAAAAAAACATCATTCTAACAAAACAATATTCTGACAGAATAAAATCGGTTATGTTTACAAATTACGTTAGAATTAAAATTGAATTAATTAAAAAAATTCAGATTTTTAAAATTAAGAGAATTAATTATCCCTAAAAATCCGAAAATTTCCTTTTATAAATGTAGTTAATTGTCTAAAATATCATTTTGCTAAAATTTGTGGGATTATATGTTACATGTTATCCCATTGTAATATCATACACTCTCAAATCATGTTCATTGATTAATTTTATCCATTGGTCCAGATCTGTGCATTCTGGCACACAATAGTTAGTAAAACAAAATAACCTAAGCTATATATATATATATATATATATATATATATATATATATATATATATATATATATATATATATATATATAATATATATATAATTAAATAACAAAAAACTATATAAAATAAAGAAAATATTTTACATGTAAAACAATTTTTTTATTTGAAAATTCAACATAATCGACATTAATGATTGCTAAATTTATAGTTTTTAAAATTGTTACGGTAGATAAAAGAATTATATTTAATTTTATAAACACAACCTGCAACCGAAGACAATTGAGATCGTACAATTTTGGTGAACTATACCCTATCAACCCATATCGAACTTGCACCATGTTATTACGTGGATACAATAATTGTGTATCGCTATTAATAAATTTGAGAGCAAAGTTTGAACAATGAACTTTCTTTATGAAATTTCGCACAACAACCATTAGACTTTTATCATGTCGTAAGATTATGTGGTTCTAATATATATTTCTTTTATCGTATGGTTCTAAACAATGAAAAAGTTTTATATCGACTTCACAATTTAATACAATAATCATTGTTTCATAGTTTATGAAAATGACATAGAGTTATTCTTTACAACTTATATTTATCAATGTCTTAAGTAGATAATTTTATTATATATGCAGTGCACATGCATTCGCGTACTTAGCATATGAAGTTAGGAGTTATTGCCAATGACCAAGTACTAACTACCATGCCAACTTGGACGATGTTGATAGAACATGAGAAACGGACATATATGAGAACGAAAGGAACCTTTAAGATGAACAACCATCTCTCTCAAATACTTTTGCCATATTTGTTTGATTATTGTCTCGTGCCTTTATCTGATTTCTTCTTTAGCTCTTATGTAATGTGTATTTTTTCTTTTCGAACAACACTTTTATAAAGAAAACGATAGCAAAAAACTAGCGCAAAACCAAAACAGCTAACACCAGTACATCGAAACAAAAGAAAAAAAAACCTTCACATCCACTTGCGGTTTTACTATGGTGTCCCATAGTGGCACCGACAACACCTGGTTTTTCCGGACGCAGTGCAAAAGTTTTCGTAATTTTTCGAATTTTTTTTTCTACTATCGTGACACTACTAAAATTTATTGTGACACTAATACTATGAAATCATGCGTCTGTCCCTGCTCACATGACTAACATAGGTTTATAGAACCAACCCACCCAACAATTTTTCCTACTCCTGAATCTGTTATTAATCCACAAAAAAGATTGAGTAACTAAATTATCCCACGTATCCTTCTTCTTAATAGAAAGAGAACCAAAAACAATAGAGTTCCTAAATAACCAAACAAACCA